GAAAAAGGCTCGAAATTCGAGCCTCTATACTAGAATACCCCCTTAAACTTCTGAAAAGTGATGTTACTCTGTTTTACATTTTAGATGGCGATATGTATGCATGTATGTGAGTTTCTAACGATTCTTCATGAGTGTCCTGTTTTCATGCATATTTGCAACAATTTATTGCATATGTATCTTATCTACATGCGATTTTTTATTAAACTCTGCTCTAATAATCGAGCAATTTGCCTTTAGCACGCTTTTTCTCACTGTTCTATAATGCATTTTTTTTATATTAATTTTTTAGCTTTTCTTTATCTTGCGACTACATAAACAAATCTGCATGTATTTACGGTATACATTTATGTAAATATAGTTACAGTTATGTATTTTCGCGACTGATATTTAAAGTAATTAGGAGAGCTGCTACAAGAGAGACCCCAGTAAGCCATTTAGTTTAAATCTAGTAATTTATTACAAAGTACAGCTATACCAATTCTTAATAAATTTTTTACTATACTAACCGTGTTTTTATTTTTTTTATTTTTCATCTTCATGATTCAAAACTAAATTTGTAGCCAATTTACGATTTTTAAATTAAATAAAAAAGTTTTCCAAAAGGGTTCGATCAGTTTCTATGGAAGATATACACTATAGCGAGCCGATATCGGCGGTTCCGACAAATGTTCAGCTTCTTGGTGAGAAAAAAAACGTGTGCAAAATTTCAGAACGATATCTTAAAAACTGAGGAACTAGTTCGTACATATACAGACGAACAAACAGACGACTCAGCTCGTCAAGCTGATMATTCACATATGTATGTATTATATATACTATATATGCGTGTTAGAAACTTTTTGACAAACTGCATAAAAAAATTATATATTTTTTTAATCTTCAAAAAACGAAAAACAAAAACAGTATTGCAAAAATGGTGGTTAATGATGAGTTTAAGTAACTATTTAAAAAAAATGTGACAAAAACTTAAAAGCTGCCTCGTTGAAAGCTGGTGGCGCTACTTTGCCATTTGCGTTTTGCCAGTTGGGCTAAATGGCAAATTACCAATGTTGCATGTACCGAGTCGCAACACAAGACGCAAAACCGGTATGTTTCAAGACTACCATTACTTGCAACTAAAGAGAGGCACAGCAGCGCAACGCTTACACATGCACGTTTCAAGCGATGGTCTGATGTAGGTAAGAACCAAACGAAGAGCAACTGTACTCTCACCGCTTTAGTTTTTCGCTCTTATATGTATGCTACTGTGTATGTGTATTCTGCATTTTGTTTTTATCATGTTCGGCGTGAGCGCGCCTTCGTGTTTTTATGGCATTACAAATATTCGAAAAACTTATACATGTGAATTGCCATTATAAATTTATATATTTTCTTCTGTTGCCTTGGCTCGTCATTTTTACATTTTCATTATATTTAAGCGTAACACGATGTGTGTGCGAGGAGCAGCGTAAGTGTTAAAGCAAAATAATAAAATTTCATATTTTAGTTTTAAAATTATTGTCGTTGTGTGCGGTCGTTTGTTGTGTTAGCAGCGGAGAACGGGTTATATGTGCCGAATGGCAAATAATATTTTAAAACTTAAATGTATTTTACTTATGAAATTCATACATATTTAAAAGAGAGTAGGGAAAATAAAAATAAAATAAAAATAGTTGGCTAAAAATCGATTTTTGACGTGCATTTTTATGCGTAGAAATTTTTTGAAATAACAAAATATTTATTTTTTTTTCGCGCATATTATTTAATTGTGAAAATAAAAATTTCCATTGAAATGGATAATCAAATTGGTAAGTATTTATTTGTTTTACATAAAATATTTTTAAAAGCATAAATGTYGTAGATACTAATTATTTATATAATTACATGCATGTAAACATATGTATGTATGTATATGCATATAGTATGTATTAAATTTAAGTTGAAAAAGTCAACATATAAAAATTATGGCACAATTCACAATAGACATACAAGCGATAGGCCGCACGGCGCGCTGTACCGCAGATAACATGGATTTTTATGCCATGAAAGTTGGTAAATGGAGGGGTAGTGCGATGACCGAGGAGCTGTCTCTAATAAAYTACAAAGTATATCTGCGAAAATATATACAAATATACATATGTATTCATTAATAGTAAGCAAACACAAATTCATATAAAAATAGTGTATATGTATTTTATATACATACACGCTTACATAGCCATGTGCACACTTTTTTATTTACATACATACATACAAAAAATATTTAATATAATCAATGCGCGTTATTATAAAACATTTGCCATATTAAAAACTTTCATTGTAACAAAATTCCAATGAAGTTCCGCAGCAAATTTACGTTTATTTTTCATCATTCATTTAAAGTTCCAAGATTTTTTGATTTCATAATTAACATGTAATTTAAACATCAGCGGCCAACAAATATTAAATAGTTTTTTACGCTAAACTAATTGTACATATTATTGTGCAAGTAGAAAAATATATTTAATTTTTTTGTTCTTCAACTTTGCTCAGTACGTACAGTGGCACGAATGTGCAAATAGAGAGCAATGCCAGAGAAAGAACGTGAGAGCGAATGCGCGCATTAACAAACTTGCGAGGGTTTGGGGTGATTAAAATGTGWATGAGAATGAGAATACGAGAGCACTCTTACCACCGTCGATAATTTGCCGTTAAATCGCTGAAGCTTCGCGGCAAACAACAGAAAAAACAAAAATAAATGCACAAACGAAACCCAAAGAACGCTTTTGCGAGCACGCGTATTCGTGACAAAAAAAAAAAAGAGCGGCGTGAGAGAGCCGGCTCTCAAATTCACGAAGCGCAATGGCATGGTGTCGGTGGTTTGTAGCTCCAACGTTTGCGCTACCAATATGCTGCCGCTGACTGTCTACTATTAACTTATGAAATTAAATTAAACTATAAAAAAAAAATTTAAATATAAATAATAATTTCGTATCTCTGGTTGACATTAAATTTTTCGATTTTTCCACATTGTCGTTTTCATTATTGTTGTTGTTGTAAGTATAGTATAAATTAGCTGTGCAATCTTTTTGCTTGTTTAAAATTTAAGTTAATTTGCCGAGTTCAGCAAGCAAATAAGAAAACAACTGGGCAATATTTAAGTATTGTAATGTTTGCTATTCGCAATATTCTGGAATATCGAAAGTTTTCGTCGCGGTCGCTGCTTAATCACAAAAGATAGCTTAAAGCAAATGCAAATATTAAATATTTATGTCTAAGTATATATCTACATACATATATACATAATCATGTATGTACAGTGAAAAATGTGTAAAAAAATAAAATCGTAATTAGACGTCACGTGAAAATAAACAATCCGTAATTGCGATAAATAAAAATCCATAGAAATAAACAATGCAAATGAAAATAAATCCATCTATTAAATTTGTGTTATAAAAATTGTGAGTATTTGTGCAAAGTAATCCAATGTGTTGCAAAGTAATTTCCACGGTTAAAGTTTTGATGATTTTCATGATTTTTGCGCTAGTTTCACTCGCTTGCAATAAAAATATGAATATGCATTTGCATGTGTGTATCTGTATATACTTGATACATATTTACCTATAATTAATATGATGATATGTTTGATTAATAAACTGACTGTGCATAGTTATTKAAGTATTTATAAAAATAGTTAAATATAAATACGAATACACCCATACATATAAGTGCATACAATGTTGAGACAGCTTTATATCTGTGGGTACATATGTATCTGTTTATTGTTATTTATTATATAAATCTAAACTGGCTCGTTCATACTTATATAGCAGTAAATAAGATATAAACGATATAAATACGAGAAAAAATTATCGTTAGTTGTAAACTGCTTAATTCAAGGAGCTAGTTAAATCTCTCTGAAACTAAAGGCTTAGAGAATAACATGTTATTCATATTATCATTATCATAAATGAGGGTTCAAATAAACACAGTTTTTAGTTTTGCATAGAAATCTTTTACATTTAGCAGGGTTACGTATTAATGAATACTATACATACCTATATATAGGCAATATATAATACATAAATACATATAAACATTTAAATATTAAAAAAAGAGATATGGTTGATGGCTGGAAAAAGCTTTACAATAYCTTACAAAAATTTTAAAAAGTATTAAGCTGGGGTGTTAAATAAGAATTGTTAAATTTGGTGATTGG